CTCTCTCTCCCTCTCTCTCTCCCTCTCTCTCTCTCTCTTGACCTTGGACAAGCCTTCTTGGGCCTCAGTCTCTTTATCCATAAAATGAGGGGATTGGACCAGAGTGCTCTGAGGTCGCTTCTCCATCTGGGGTCCTGTGTTTTCTCATGGTTCTCCTCCTCCTCTCTGACCTTTCTTTCTCAGTCTCCTGTGTTGGATCATTAGTCTTATAACATCCCCTAACCACTGGTGTCCTCTAATGCTTGGTTCTATCCTCTCTTCTCTTCTCTGTCTATACCACGGGCTCTTAACTATGAAGAGATTTCAGGGGGATTTGTGGATTTGGACAGGAAAAAATGGCAACTTTGTTTTCACTAATCTCTCCCTAAAATTTAGCATTTCTTTCAATTATTTTTTTTTAAATGGTGATTCTGAGAAGAGGGAGGGGAGAGTGGTCCATAAGCCTTGCCAGAGTGCCCAACGGGTCCCTGACCCAAAGAAAGTGAAGAACACTTGGTCTCCACTCTTCAGCCTGAGGTTGGAGGGAGATCTCATGGAGACTTAATGAAGGCTTAGATGGCTAATCAAGCTTTCATATAACATAAAACTGGGAGAGGTGGCTTACATATCATACCTGGGGCAAGATGCCAGGGGCCCTGGTTTTCATTTCCAGTCATGCCATTTACTACCTATGTGACCTTGAGCATTAACTTTCTAGGACCTGTTTCCTCAACTGTAAAATGAAAAGGTTAGATTAGGTGCTGTCTAAGGTCCTTTCCAGCTTTAGAGCTCTGATCCAAGACTCTTTCTCTTCTTCGGGTCTCAGTTTCTCCTTATATAAATTGAGAAGGTTGGACTAAATTTCCTGTGGGATCCTTTTACATTTTAAATCTATAATCTAAGTGACCTCCCCTCTCTGGGGCTCAATTTAATCATCTGTGAAATCAAAGGGTTGTAAAAATGTACTGAACATTGCATACTCTTTGCCCTATCATGATTCGACTGAATATCATGATTATCAATATCATGATTAGACTGAAACCCCAAAAGACCAAAGAGGGAAAGGACCCATATATACAAAAATATTTATAGCAGCTCTTTTTGTAGTAGCAAAAAAATTGAAAACTGAAGGGGCACAGTAGATAGAGTGCTGGACTTGGAGTCAGTAAGACTCTTCTCCCTGAGTTCAAATCTGGCTGTTTACCTTAGTTTCTTCATCTGTAAAATATACTGGAGAAAGAAATGGCAAACCACTCCAGTATCTTTGCCAAGAAAACTCTAAGTGGGGTCATGAAGAGTAGACATGACTGAAAAACAATAAAAGGGCGTGCCCGTTTATTTATTGACTAAGCAAATGGTAATATATGAATGTAATGAATATTACTGAACTGTAAGAATTGATGAAAAGAATAGTTTCAGGGAAACCAGGGATGAATGGATGCAGAGTGGGGTGAGCAGAACCAGAGGAACAATGATACAGTAGCAACAACCTTGTTAACACAACTTTGAATGACTGAAAGTGATCAATGCAATGACCAGCCATGATTCCGGACGACCCAGGATGAAGCCTGCTCCCCACCTCCTGACAGCAGGAGGGCTCAGGGGACAGAAGGAGACACTTTTTTGGGTATGGCTAATGTGGGAGTTTGTTTTGCTTGACAATGAATATTTGTTATGTTTTCCCCTAATAAGGAAGGAGGGAAGAGGGAGGGAAAATTGTGGTTTCAAAGTGCTGATGTTTGTGTTTATACTGTACAAGAGTCTTTTCATAGGATCTAGAGCAGCAAAAGACCCCAGAGGGGAAGGGAAAGGAATAGCTTTTAATGAGCACCTCCTGTGTGTCAGGCACTGTGCTAAGCACTTTACAAATATTGACGGGTTTGATGCTTGCAACAACCCTGGAAAGTAGGTGCTATGATTACCTGCCTTTAACAGTTGAATAAACCAAGCACAATTTGCTCTAGCTGGCCTTTACAAAACACTGAAAAGAGGTTCAACTCAGGGGCAGAATGGAACCCTGGCCCCAGAGCCCATTGGCGTGAGCCTCGCCTCATCGAGGACGTCAGTGTCTGGAGCCTGCAGAAGTGACTGCCCACAAGGAGGTGGGTGGTCAGTCAATGGCATGGGGGCCTGGGCATTGATTTTAGAGTCAGAGGTTCAAATTTCACCTCTGCTATTTACTGTCTGTGTGACCTTGGATCAATCACTTCTCCCTCTCTGCACCTGTTTCCTCACCTCTAAAATGAAAAAGTCAGACTAAATATTTCTAAGGTCCCTTTTAGATTTTTGGGGGATGAGAGTGGTTTTGAGAGACTTAATCTGGTTTGTAGGTAGAGGGGAAAGAGCATGTGGAGATGAAAAGACTTTGAAGACCTGTGAAAAAGAAACGAAGATCCCAAGGGAGGCAGGGGGTGTGGGGCTGAGGTTACAAGTGGGACAGGGAAGCAGAGAATAGATAATGAACTGACCTGCTGGGGGGGGCGGCTGAATGGAATGTGGAGCTGGAACGTGGCTCAGGCTCTCTGGTCAGCCAGGAGACAGAGTGGGCTAGCGTGCCCTCCTTCAGTCACTAATCAACTGAGCTGGGTCCGAGGAAGTGGGTAGAAATGCAGTCTAATAGCTTTTAGTTGCAGACTGAATGGTTTTCAAATTCATCATTAACGTCTACTCTGAGCCTAGCCTTCTTCTAGAATCTGAAAGTGACACAGCAGTCAAGGTTCCTGCTTTCACAGAGTTCTGGGTCTGCTAGTATACATGTGCATATGCACCCACATACACACACAGATCACCCACATAAGTCTTGGGGAGTCCCTGGGCTTCCCATCACTTGCAAATCCCTCCCAGTTCCTAGTGGCCACGTCTTCTCTCCCCCTTTCACATTTCTGGCATCAGATTCTTCCTTCACATTTAAGTGTGCATGACTGATAACAGATTAAAGTGTGCCTCAGAAAGTGTAAGACTGACAACAGCTTAAGCTATGCTGCAGATGTATGAAGTCTAACCAAGAGATAAAACTGATCTATTCAAGGCCACTCAGTCTGCATCAGCGCCAGACCTTATTGTGTCTTCTGACACAATACAAGTCAACCCTGATTGAATTCAAAAAACATTAGTTAAGTATTTACTAGATGTCAGTCATCTTACTGGGTACTTGGGAATATTAACAGGAGTTAAAAGCAATCTCTGCCTTCAGGTGCTTACATTCTCCTGAGATCAGGATCAGTAAAGGCTTCCCATAAGTGGTAGTGCTGGGGGTGAGGGGGTGTGGATAAGGAAAGAGGGATTTGGTGATGCCATATCTATACCCTAAGGGTAAAAAGATGAATCTTTATTGGTTTCTTAGTGTGTGTGTGTGCTTGTGTGTATCTCTGTTTTCTCCTCCAGTGGCTAACCTAGCCTCTGCTCACAGAATCTGGGCAGACTGGCAGGAAGCTGCATGAGGTCCCGAGCCTGGGGATACAGGAAAACAGAACAGGTGTCAGCCATCAGACCACCAGAAGGGGGTGGGGATGAAGGAAAGGGGCAGGGGCTCTAGCTGCGACTAGCATCCAGAACAGAAATAACTCTGCGGTCAGGGCAGGATGTTTGAAATGATCATTCTTACCTAGCAGCCCACTAATTCCTGGTGGCAGGACACATGAAGGCAAGAGCTGCAGAGGGGAGCTGCTGGACGCCACAAGGCAGAGGGGCTGCCAGGGGCCATCCTTGGACTCAGGCCAGCTATTTTGGGGAAGTGGGGAGAGAACCTTATTTTTCTCAACTGGAGATTCCAGCACCCTACAAGGTAAGGGGGCCCCTTTCTCTGAATGACTGGAGGTGTGAAAATTTCAGGCACCGCCCTGATCAGGGAGTAAGAAGACACTGCTGAGCCATTCTATCAGGGCAGGGAAAGACTGGAGCCCCTTGAAGCATGGTCTAGGGGAAAGCACAGGTCAGGGCTCCAAGAAAATTGAGCTGTGTCCTGGTTCTACAATCCACCAGCTATGTCATATCGGGTAAGTTCCTTCACTTGTCTGGACTTCTGTTCCCTTATCTCTAAAATAAGGAGACTAGACTGAATCACCTTTACGGTCCCTTCCAGCTCTAAATTCTGTGTTCTCACTTGCTATGGGGAGATCTTGGCCAAGTCCCATCATCTGGATGAACCTCAGTTTCCTCATTTGTAAAATGAGGGGGCTGGACTAGGGGACTTCCAAGATCCCTTCTTGTCTCTGACTTTCTGTGACTTGTTTCCCTCTAACCCTGACCAGGCAAGGCTAGTTTCTCCATTGTTGACTTGGGTCTTTCTCTTCCCTCTGCCTGCCCCGTCCCTTCTTTCTGAGTAAATTTCTTTAGTTGGTCAAGAGGAGAGATGGTGATTTCTTTCTTTCCTTTCCCCAAATAGAAAAGTGATTGTTGTCACTTTTATTATACCAGACATTTCTCCGGACTTGAGTTTGATGACTGAGATTAGCCCAAGGGCTTCTGGATGACTTTGTGTATGGGGCAGAAGAGGCTGCTAAGGTGTGAGGAAAGCCTTTCCCTCCCTACCTTCACCTTCCCTCCCCCATCCCATAATACCTTGGTCAGGTCCCTGCATATGCCAGTAGCTACTTGGAGTGAATAGGGAGAAAAATATAAAAAGGTGCATGTGAGTGAACAATCAGAAAAGACTATACAAGGCTGAAGCATTTATATTCTAACAGATGACAGCACTGTCCCCACATAGCCCTAAGGTTACTAGAGCTCATTGAGAAAGTTAAATAAGACAGAGTGGGGATTCTGGGAGTGGCTATGTTATGTTCTGATGACATTAAAAGAAGGAAGGAAAGGGAGAGGGAAAGGAATATAGTAGGGAAGATAGGAGGAAGGATGGGCAAACTTACTATCTCATATAAGCAGGGTGTGCATTAGAAATCTGTACAAACCAACTGTGGTGGCACATGCCTGTAGTTCATGCTTCTGGAGAGGCTGAAAGTGATGAATTTCAGGAGTTCAGGAGTTCTGAGCTGCTGGAGGGATGAAGCTGATCTGGTGTCAGCACTAAGTCCCAGGGGAGCCTTGGGGAGCAGGGGGCCACCAGGCTGCTTTAGGAGGGTCAAACCAGCCCAAGTTGGAAGTGAAGCAGGTCAAAGATCGTTTACTGGTCAGCATTGGTGAATGGTCATCGTACTTCCAGCCTAGGTGAGACAGGAAGACCTAATCTCCAAAACGAACAAACAAACAAAAACAAAACAAACAAAAATATTCAATACAAAGAGGAACTGACCTGAACTGGTCAAAGAAAAGATGCACAAGCAGAGATTTTGGTATAGAAATGCATTCAACTCAAGAGAGAAATAAGAGGGAACAGGAAGAGGGAAGAGAAGGGGAAAAGTGGGTAAAAAGGATGAGTCATAAGCAAAACAAATTCTAACCTTGGAAGAAGGATCCTGAAGAGGGATTTCAAAGGAAAGAAAAAAAAGGTAAGAATCTGTAATTGGGATCTAGGTAAGAGGAAGAGAAGAGGAGCAGGGGAGAAAATATAGATTGTATCAAGCATAGAGCACAGAAGCTAAGAACAGTCTTCTCTTATCATCCACTTCTTTGTAAAGATGAGGCATACAGCAAAGAAAAGAAGAAGTGAAAGAGAGTAGGAAGGAAGGAAACACAGTTAGCAATCATAAATGTGAATGTGAATGGGATGAACTAACCCATAAAACAGAAAAGACCTTCATGGATTTCAGAGCAGAACCCAACAATATATCATTTACAAGAAATACACTTGAAACATGCAGATGTATATAGAGTTAAAATAAGGGGCTGGAGCAAGCCTTCATACTTCAACCGAACTAAAAAATTTGGAGGCTATACCATTTGGCGTATACATGTTTAGTATCAATATTACCTCATTGTCTATGTTACCTTCTAGCAAGTTTTTTAGTAGTTTTTTTCCTTCTTTCTTTTAATTATATCTATTTTTGCTTTTGCTTTGTTTGAGGTTATGATTGCTACTCCTGCTTTTTTTTTTGCTTCAGCTAAAACATAATAAATTCTGCTCCAGCTTCTTATCTTTAATCTTTGTGTATCTTCCTGCTTTAAATGTGTTTCTTATAAACAACATATTGTGAGAATCTGGTTCTTAATCCACTCTGCTATCTGCTTCCATTTTCTGGGTAAGTTCTTCCCGTTCACATTCACAGTTATGACTACTAACTGTGTATTTACCTCCATTCTATTTTCCCCCATTTATCTTTCTCTCTCTCTCCTTTTATCCTGTCTCTCCTCACCAGTGTTTTGCTTCTGACCATGCCTCTCCCAATCCATCCACTCTTCTATCAATCTGTCCACCTTCTCTTATCCCCCTCCCCTCTTACTTTCCTATAGGGTAAAATAGATTTATATACCCAACTAAGTGTATATGTTATTCCCTTAGAGATAATTCTGATTAGAGTAAGGTTCAAGAGATGCTCCACCCCCATCTTTCTCTCCACTGTAATAGATTTTCTGTACCTCTTCATGTGAGATAATTTACTCCATTCTACTTTCCCCATCTCCCTTCTTCCAGTGCAATATTCCTTCTCACCACTTAATTTTGTGTTTTTAGGGATATCATCCCATGAAAGTCAACTTATACCTGTGCCCTTTGTCTATGCATATTTCTTCTAAAACTGCTCTAATAATGATAAAATTCTTAAAAGTTACAAGTATCATCTTCCGAAGTAGGAGTATAAGCAGTTTAACCTTACTGAATACCTTATGTTTTCTCTTTTCTGTTTACCTTTTTATGCTTCTCTTGAGTTTTGTATTTGAAAATCATATTTTCTGTTCAGCTCTGGTCTTTTCATCAGAAATGCTTGAAAGTCTTCCATTTCATTGAATATTCATTTTTTCCCCCTGGAGGATTAGACTTAGTTTCATCGAGTAGGTGATTCTTGGTTGTAATCCTGGCTCTTTTGCCCTCTAGTATATCCCAATATCAAGCCTTCTGATTCTTTAATGTAGAAATTGCTAAATCCTGTGTAAATCCTGACTGTGGCTCTGTGACGTTTGAATTTTTTTCTGGCTACTTGCAGTATTTTCTCCTTGACCTTAGAGTTCTAGAATTTGGCTATAATATTCCTGGGAGTTTTCATTTTGGGGTCCGGGGTGTCTTCAGTCATCCTGATCTATATCTTGCCACTGGACACAAATGACTCTGGAGGAGACAATGAGGCTGGTGACTTTGCTCAGTCCTCCCTCACTTAAATCCAATTCACTTGCAGGTCACGGTATTATCTTCCTGTTATCGTGGTCCTCTGCAAAAAACAAAGGACAAACAACAGCAATGACATTTTGGGATCTTTCAGGAGGTGATCATTTGATTCTTTCGATTCCTATTTTACCCTTTGGTCTTAGGATATCAGGGCAGTTTTTCTTGATAATTTCTTGAAATATGATATCTAGGCTCTTTTTTTGATCATGGCTTTCAGGTAGTCCAGTAATTCTTAAATTCTCTCTCCTAGCTCTATTTTTTCAGGTCAGTTGTTTTTCCAAAGAGATATTTCACGTTTTCTTTGATTTTTTTCATCCTTTTGATTTTTTTAAATTGTTTCTTGATGTTTCGGAGTCATAAGCTTCCACTTGCTGAATTCTAATTTTTTTTTGAGGCAATGGGGGTTAAGTGACTTGCCCAGGGTCACACAGCTAGTAAGTGTCAAGTGTCTGAGGCTGGATTTGAACTCAGGTCCTCCTGACTCCAAGGCAGGTGCTCTATCCACTGCACCACCTAGCTGCCCCTGAATTCTAATTTTTAAGGAATGATTTTCTTCATTAAGCTTTTGCATCTCCTTTTCCATTTGGCCAATTCTATTTTTTTTTTTTTTTTGTTGGCAGTTAGGGTTAAGTGACTTGCCCAGGATCACAGAGCAATTCAATTTTTTTAAGGAATTCTTTTCTTCAGTGAATTTTTGTATATCATTTCCCATGTTTTGTGCTTCCTTTACCAAGCTGTTGACTCTTTTTTCATGATTCTCTTGCATCACTTCATATCTTTTCTTAATTTTTTCTGTCTCTTTTATTTGACTTTTTTTATCCTTTTGAGCTCTTTTAAGAGTTCTTTTTGGTCCTGATGCCAATTGACATTTTTCTTTGAGGCTTTGCATTTAGACATTTTGACATTGTTGTCCTCATCTGAGTTTGTGTTTTGATTTTCCCTGTCACCATAGTAACTTTTTATTGTCAGGTTCTTTTTTTGTTTGTTTGTTCTTTGCTCATTTTTCTAGCCTATCTCATGACTTTTGATTCTATGTTAAATTTTGGCTCTGTTCCTGGGGTAAAGGGGGCACTGTTCCAAGTTTCTTGCACAGCCTGCTGCTGGCTTGCCCAGATGCTGCCTGTACTGGACTGTGCTCCCCTTTTACCCAAGTGAGGCAACCTTTTCTGCTGACCTTCTAAGTTGTCTTAGGCTGGAAAATTGTTTCACTCTGTCCTTTTCTTGGTTCTGCTCCACAATTTGTTTTGAGGTGTGATTTTATAGTTATTCAGAGGTGAATTTCGGAGACTTCAGGTGAGTTCCTGCTTTATTCTGCCATCTTGACACTGCCCTCCTTAATTTGATTTTTAAAAGAAAAAATCAAAATACTAAAATAAAAAATGAAAAAGTACAATTTACTACAAATGAAGAAATATAGGAAATTATTAGAAACTATTTTTCTATGTGACAATAAAATTGACAAATTAAAAGATAAATATTTACAAAAACATAAAATTCTGAGATTAATGGAATAAGAAACAGAGAATTTAAATAACTCAGTCTCAGAAGAAGTTGAACAAGCCATACACGAA